ACACTTTGCGCAAAAATCAAAGGCAAAATTTAATGTCTGTAAGAAACAGCATACAATCAATTTAGAGAGTTGAAATCTAATGCAAAAGATTATTAGAATTATAAAAACTTATATTATAAATAAGAATTATAGTATATTATTATTATTATGATAGTCCATGGAAGAGGTTCCTTCCTTGTAAGATTGAGAATGCAATGCCATTTTCAGGCCCCCATTCAAATTGTCTTCCAGCTAGCATCTCCCATTAACTGAGTAGTGTTAGGGGTACACTTTGACATCTTCAGCAGAGTCATTGGGAATAAGCAACTCTAGCAACTGCATTGTTACATCATTTCCCCTCATGAAGGAGGCAAATACTGCTTGTGTATTACAATGTTATTTGTTGTTCTGTCTTTCTCAGATGAGCAGTTACCATTATTTAGATGTAAACTATTGACTTCTTTATAGCTGTTATCACAATGTTTCAGCCATTATACCCTCTGTCTCTCATCAGATTTATGCTGATATGGGTCATCTACAGGGAATTTTGAACTGAACCCTTTATTTAATCTACAGGGACAGATTGGTCTTGTTTAACTGCCCATGCCTACATATATCTCATCAGTTCTTATTTAGTACTGCTCTATTTCCAGTGAGTTCAAATACACACTACCTGGCTCAGAGATTGAACTCACAATTACTATTATTTTATGAAACACTGCTTTAATCCCCTAGGTTATTATTGCCCAGTCTTGAAGGCCAGAAGTCATAATAACTGTGGTTGTGATAAAAACAACAATGATGAGGACAACAGTCTGCATGTAAATACTGTGAATTATCATAATTAGCAAAATTCTTTTTTGTATCCTGGACAACATTAACCAGACAATTTAGCACCTGTAAATATAGTAAGCATTAGAGTAGTGAAGTGTATAATGAGAGATCTGGAAGCTCACTCATGTGCTAATTTGATTTAAAACTGCAGGAACCCATCATTCTTTGAAGTGATTAGACATTAAGTAATTCTAAAACCATTGAAATCTAAAAATATCTCGGGAGAGTTGGTAGCTTATTGGTTATCATCTAAAAAAAAAAAGTAATTAATGAACAAAGTCATGGTGAGGACTGAGCGATATTCTCTCAAACACAATTAAGAAAGACAGGAATGCAATTCTACGTATATTGGCAGTCATCTTGAACATGGTTACCGTCACTAACAGCAACTATTGGGGAGGTTTATACTGAAACAAATTTTTATAACTATTAAGAGGTTCTTAATGAGAATTATCATTTGTTTTTGACTTTATGGTTATGATCAATTTCTTTCTTGATCTTATAGCAAGGATCAATTTAATTTTTGGCTTTACAAAAATACTTGGATAGTATCAATATGTTTCTTGGTCTTACAACAAGGATCAATTTACTTTTTGGCTATACAACAATTTTGGGATATGATCAATTTGTTTTTTTTTTTACAAGGATCAAATTATTTCTGGCTTTACTACAATTTTTGGATAGTATCGATTTGTTTCTTGCTCTTACAACAAGGATCAATTTACTTTTTAGATTTACAACAATTTTTAGATTGGATCAACTTGTTTCTTGGTCTTAAAAAAAGATAAATTTAATTTTTAGATTTATAACAATTTTTAGATTGGATCAACTTGTTTCTTTTACAAGGATAAATTTTCGTTTTGGCTTTACATCAATTTTTGGATAGTATCAATTTGATTCTGTTTTTCTTACACGGATCAATTTACTTTTTGGGTTTGCAACAATTTTTGGATAGTATCAATTTGTTTCTTGCTCTTACAACAAGAATTAATTTACTTTTTAGATTTACAACAATTTTTAGACAGTATCAATTTCTTTCTTGGTCTTACCATAAGGATCAATTTACTTTTTGATTCACAACAATTTGTAGATATGATCAAATTGTTTCTTGCTCTTACAACAAGGATCAATTTACATTTTGGGTTTACAACATTTTTTGTATAGTATCAATTTGTTTCTTGGTCTTACAACAAGGATAAATTTGCTTTTTAGGTTTACAACAATTTTTGTATAGTATCAATTTGTTTCTTGGTCTTACAACAAGGATCAATTTACTTTTTCGGTTTACAACAATGTTTGGATAGTATCAATTTGTTTCTTGGTCTTACAACAAGGATCAATTTACTTTTTCGGTTTACAACAATGTTTGGATAGTATCAATTTGCTTTGTGGTATTATCCACTTGCATGAAAAAAGTTTCAGTTTTAAGAAATTTATTATTTAGAATTCTGAAACTGATTTGATACAGAATCTAAAATTCAAGTTATAATTCATTCAATTCTAAAACTTCATTCAAATCATAAATCAAAACAATATTTTTGTTGTGTAATGTATTGACCTTTCTTGTTAATTTAAAAATAATTTAAAAGATATGGCTGAGAAGTCAACATTTGGAATGCTCGACAAATATGACACTGTCTTTTCGCAATCAGTTCATGGCCCTGCACAACAACAAACAACAATCAAAAAAGATAAGATTCATAAATGAAAAACAACAGAAACATGCTTTGCTAGGTTCATATATATATATATATATATATTATATAGGATGCGATGGATAAATTGTCGTCTAAATGACACAAAAATGAAAACAACAGACATCTCATTTTAACAGATATACAGGGTGCAATGAATTAATTGTTGTCTAAATGACACAAAAATCAAAATAACACTGACATCTTATTTTAACAGATATACAGGGTGCGATGGATAAACTGTCGTCCAAATGACACAAAAATCAAAATAACGCTGATATCTCATTTTAACAGATATATTTACGAAAATTACACAAAAATATCTTGAAATACTAAATAGTAAATTTATTCAATAAAATCGCCATTGGTTTCAACCACGGCCTCCACACGACTTTGGAATCTCCTGCACCTCTTCTGGACAGCCTCCTTCTTTAAGTTGGTGAATGCTGCCATAGTCCTTACCTTCAGTACATCTTTAGTGTTACAAGGTGTTTCGTAGGTATATACACTCAACTATTCCTCACACATAATAATCAACAGGGTTTCTGACTGGGGAGTTAGCTGGCCAGATGTAAGGGGTGATGACACCCATGACTGGCATCTCCTGCTTGTATGGCATGGTGCAGAATCCTGTTGCCAGACATAGAATCTTCCAGCAGCCACCCTCTTGACCCAAGGCAGAACTACCTCCTCAAGCCACTTGATGTAGGCCTCTGTGTTGAGTGAGATGATGAATGGAAGTATAATATCACCATCACTAATGATCACTCCAAACACCATGATGCTGACTGGATATATCATCTGTTTCCAAATCCTCTGCATTGTCTTCAGATTTGGACCCAAGCACTCTCAAATATTCGTATTGGAGATTACCATTTCCAAATTTTTGGCAGAGTGAATTGCAATTCCCAACTGACCCTGCTCTACTGTGCAGTTGACAAAATCAAAACAAACAATGCACATGCACAAAATTAAAAATATAAAATGGTGACAATTGACCCATTGCATTCTGAATATATGCACCTTCTTGGGCTAATATTCATGTGTGACATGAAGTGAAACGATTATATTGAATCCACACATTGCACAGTGGATAAAGGCGTTGGTTAGATTTATATATTTTCTGTCCCATCTGTAGTGGGAAAGGGGGTAAATCAACTTAAGTTAGTACATTTCTGAGTGATTACTTACCTTAGTTATTTTATTAATCTATACAAATAAAATATTTATCTGCATACGGATAAAATTACTTCCCAAAGCAAAATGAACTGTTTAATTAATCAGTTCCTTTACTTCTATGTTTCTTAGATTGCAATCTTATTTGTCCAAGTCTTTCATGTGAGGCCCTCAGATAACTGACTATTAAGTGATCATCTTGTTTCAACTTGGTCTTGAAATAGGCTTTGTTGTCACTATTTTTTCTGTTCTGTTGCTAATCCTTTTATTCAGAGATATTCCCATTTCACTGTTATATTAAACACATTTTAATATGAAAAGATATTGAGCAAAAAGGTATTTACATAATACCAGGAGTAATCAATGAATCATAGATACCATTGAATATCCAAAAAATATAAAGGAGATAGATTAATTAAACAGTTCATTGGCCACTATTTTAGTTGTGAATTCTTTATTTCCATTTTTTTGAATCTCAATACATTGTTTTAAGACTTATTTCATTGCATCTTGCTATTAAAACTTTCTAACAATTGACATCATTTTTTGGTGGTATGGATACACCAGTAAATTAAAAAATTATTATGGAGACAATATGATGATTTGTAGAAATTTTGTCCAGTGATTTTTCATACATTCAATAACCTCAAGTCTTTTGTAATGAGAAGAAAAAAGTTTATTTTCCCAAATGCTTCAGTAATAAATTTTAAAAATATATCTTTATTCATCACAGATTTTTCATGGGGTTTCAGCAGCCATATTTGTCTTTCAAACAATTTTATTAAACATGGCAGCCATTTTGTTAAAAAATACAACAGCTTTATTTAAACAAACAAAAAAAATGACGGGGAGAGTTTTAACAGTTTTCATTAAGGATTTCAAATTTGGAATTTAAAAAAAAAAAAAATCACACACTTATTTTATGAACAAATTCTTCAAATGTAAGCAACATATCTTTTAAAAAATATAAGTGATTTATAAAGAAATTTCATTTTTTTTTGTAAATCAAAGAATACTGAATATTTCATGCATATAAAATATTTTTAAATATACTGCAGCCAAACTCGGAATCAAAGTGAATTTAAACCAGATCTCATAAAGATAATTTGTGAAGAAAACTCAGAGAATTAAGAATTAAAAACAATTTTGAAAGAAAAAATTGTGTGATTCTGAAAGAAAAGTTTCCAATGAGATTCTTATGGTCATTCCAATTCATTTATTTTAATTGAATAGCCTTTTGGGAATTGCTCATCAGCCAGTGTCATCTGTCAGGAGATTGTTTCGCAGTCGCATACTTAATTGGAAATCTCTCAATACCCTCTCTTCAAGATCAAAGTCATACTGAAATAAACAAAAATAGTAAATTATTAGTGCATGAAGAACATACCTGCAAATCATACCGAATCCAATTTACTAATGATACCTATGTCTGTCTCATGTTTTTGTGAGATGACATGTTAGTTTTATTCTTTGTTGCAAAAAAAAACAAAAAAAAAAACCCCAAACTCACCTCTTTATTGTAACTCTTCTGCACTTATGACTATAAAATGCATATACATAGTAGCCATATTGTAGCTCAATAAAGCTTCAATAAATGCCAACTCTCTGTTGTTGTTCATTGCAATTTATTGAGCTACCTCACTCAATTAGCAATGCATTCTTTGCCTGGATAAACTCATTTTTCTTTTATGCACTGTGTCCCTTTAGGACGTAGGCGATCATGGTCTTCCACATCTTCCTGTCCCTTGTAGCTCTTAATAAGTTTTGTCTTTTTTATATTTCTCCCAAACCCTGTTCTACCATCAATTTACTCAAGCTCATGAAGTATGTTAAGCACTGCTTTGTCCCTCTATCTGCCCTGTGAGTATCAGATTTTCAAAACCCTCCTTCCTTATTATATGCCCCAGAAATTTCAACTCCCTCTTCCTAATGTTAAGTATAAGTTTCCTTTTTGTTTCTATTTTCTCCAAAACTTTGTTGTTGCTCACATATTCAGTCCATGGTATCCTCAGCATTTTTCTGTGTAAATTCATTATGCACCCAAATTCATTACATGATGAAAAGAAGAACCATTTCTCATGGAAAACCTTCAAAGACTTTATTGAAGAATGTGGAAATAGAGCATCCGGCAAATTATATTGTTTAATGAAATCTGTCTCAGCTAGTGTCTAAGAGTATTTTATCCAATTTTGCTACATACAAGGAAGCCCTAGAAACTCTTAAGATGTATATGAGAAAGAAAAAATAAAATGGTTACCAGTCATTTACTTGCTATAAGGTGTCAACAGCATTTGGAGACAATAGATGAATTTCTCTGTGACCTACGCAGACTCAATAAGGATTGCACATTCCCAGCTGTTACTGATGAAAAATACTGTACAGATCTAGTAAGGAATGGTTTACTATCATCAAACATTTGGCAATGCCTACTTGAAAATGTAGACTTTACTCTCTTGCAATCCTATAATCAAACAAGGATATTAGACCTGGCCCAATGTAATGCAGAAACTTATATACCACAAGGTTTTCACTGCTGCAGTGACAGAAAAATCTCCTCTCACTTTTGCCCCCCCCCATACCACCACCATCTCCAGGAATCTCTTCAACCACCAAAAACCACTGCCTCAGCGAGATACATGTGTTTTTACTATGGTCTCAAATTACATGTCCAGTCATCATACTCAGTGAAAGACTATGATTGTTTTTCATCTATATAAATAAAGCACAGTGTTTTCATGTCTGTCCCTCTGTCTATTTTTTGATCTCAGCAAATCATAAACAACCTGAAGTAAAAGAAGTTACTACCTGTCACTTCAGGTTGTTTATGATTTGCCGAGTAAAAAAAAACAGACAAAATGTAGTTACACACAATTAAAAATTAAATAAATAACATTTAAAGTTAAATTTAAATATCAAACAAAGTGAAAGGTTTAAAAAAAAAAATTCTTTATTAAAGATCTGACTTTAATTTTGCTTTTTGTCACAACAGCAATCGATATGTCTAATTAAACTGTAATTAAAATTTAAGTGGGACACAGTACATTGCTCTTATTTTTTTTCTTTTTCGAGCATACATATTGTGACATATTCAAAATATTACATAGTTTGGGTTACCTAATGTTTTAACAGTGACCTATAAAGAATGGGGATTTTAAAAAATAAAAATTGCACAAAATAAATGTAAATGTACAGAGATCGGTTTCATATATGAAGAAGGATCATGCTAAATTAAGGTGTCAAATAAAGATAAAATAATTTTATTATTTCTAAATTCTTATAACTTTTACATACATAGGACACTGAAGGTAAAAGGTCAAAGGCCCCAAAAGCCCTCTGCAGAAGCTAGTCTGCCCAAAGGACATCTTCTCGGCTATTGTGGAATAAAGGTTCACTGGGCTAGGGTATGTGAAAAGAAAAATAATAAGAAAATCTATGTCCTTTATGCATTCTCATCCACATCATTTAACTACCTTTCAAAAACAAATATAAAAATTAAGGTCAATAAAATTTCTATTAATGCTCCGACTAACACAAGTAGCACAGAAAATTTTATTAATGCAAGTATTCCAAAGTCATATTGGTGGAGAACATTTTCTTGCTCCTGCCAAATAGTCATGGCAAACACTGCATTATTATCATCTATATTTGGATACTGTCTTGTGGAGCTGAAATTTAAAGGGAGCTCATACCATAGGGTGGGGGTAGATTTCGTCATAATGAAGAACATATGTTGCATTGCAATATTTGGATACAACTTCCTTCAGCAACACTCTTGTGTCTAGATACCAAACCAGACCTGATAGCAGTCCAAACCAGCTCTGAAAATTTGTGGTCTAATGACAGTTAATATACCTTACCTGTCACTCTTTATGAACTTAATTCCTGACAGCAAACCAATAGCTATAGAATCAAGATAGAATACTAATGAAAACAAGTACTTTATTAATATGAAAATTACAAGATTGTTTAAAGACGGAATTAGAGAACTGTGCCTGTCTCCATGGGGAGTGCTAGTCCTTGTAACATCCTCAGAAAATCACAAAAAACATGGCTCTCAACTATTTCCAGACTTTTGCAAACCATAGGTTCTAGGAAGGTGTAGATGAGACACTTGCACCAGCCCTATATATTTTTTAAGAAATTTTTTATGTTTATACATTCTTTTTATAGATACAAATATTTAAAGTAAATGCTCTGTTTATAATAAACAGTATTAACACCATTTACTGGCCTGAGTGTTTGAGAAATTTTCATGGAAAATATGCGTCCTCCAACAGGAATCGAACCTGTATCCTATACGGAACTGGCATATAGCCTGATGTGCTTTTACCGATTAAGCCACAGAGGAGTATTTCGATTAGCAAGGTCAATTTTACTGTTTTTAAACCACAATTCTCCATGATTTTCTCGCATACATTCATATCTGCTCAATGCATATCCAAATGTAAACAAATGATGTCACACATTATGAAATGGACAAAGTCCAACAATTATTTTAAGACATTTTTTATGTTTATACGTTTTTTTTATAGATACAAATATTTAAGTAAATGCTCTGTTTATAATAAACAGTATTAACAACATTTACTGGCCTGAATGTCCGAGAAATTTTCATAGAAAATATGCATCCTTCAACAGGAATCGAACCTGTATCTTATACGTAACCATCATATAGCCTGACGTGCTTTTACCGATTGAGCCACAGAGAAGCGTTTCAGTTAGCAAGATCGATTTTACCGTTTTTAAATCACAATTCTCCATGATTTTGTTGGAGGACACATATTTTCTAAGAAAATTTCTTGGACATTCAGGTCGGTAAATGTACCTTGTATCAATGACATGGTTGGTGAGATCACCAACTATCGTGCATATAGCACATTGGATCTTTGAAGTGACTACCACCAGGTCACCATAAGTAACAATGCTTATATGGTATTTGAGGTGAGTGATGGACTGTACCAATTTTGTGGGATTCCCTTCAGGGTAACAAAAGGTGTGGCCACTTTTCAAAGAACAACAAACAAAATAATTACAGGAGAAAAATTTAGAAGCCGTTTTTGCGTATATCGATAATGTAACTGTATGTAGCCATGATTAGCCCAACCATGATAGAAATTTCAAACAATTTATGGCAATAGTAGATATTATGTTTTGTATATTTCTCTGCATAGTAATAGTCATAGTACAGTTCTCCATGTCCTGAATAGCAACCGGGTGTGCTAGGTATAGCTTCTCCCTCCATGTTCACCAGATGTCCTCTATTTATACTTGTCTATCTAATTTGCATACAATACTACAGTAGAAAAATACAACCCAATGTCAAACATTGATAAATGCTTCTTTTGACAAAATACCATCAAACTACTCAGATATACCATGAGTAAAGGTGCCATGCAGCCAGACTCAGAAGCTTTAAACCCACATCTTAACCTGCTGATCCCACATAATCTATCTGCTCTCTGACAGGCACTGGGGATATTTGCATGTTACACCCACTGGATACCTTCATTCTTGGATAAAGTGCATCCATTAACAATGGCTTTTAAATTCCCTCTGTGTTCTCACACCATCAGAGCACATGAGGATCTAAATAGGGGTGTTGCTAAAGCCACTGTCACAGCACTAGTAGCTGAGACTAACTAACGTAGCCACCTTATAAAGACAATCTGGTTGACTGGTAGTACTTTTTTTGAGAACACTCTCACAGTCTGAGCAGCAACACCATTGTCAAAGTACTAAGAAAATGGTGGCATTACCTGATTGGATGCCATTTCAGACTAATTACCAACCAGAAATCGGTCTCATTTATGTTCAACCTCAAAACAATGAGCAAAATAAAAAAATGAAAAAATAGAAAAATGGAGGATGTAGCTTCTTTACTTCTTATTTGATGTAACATATCCTGGTAAAGAAAATGCTGCAGTAGACACACTCCCAAGGGTGTCCTGCTCTATAACCAGCAAAGAGAATCTTCTCAATCTACATAAGGAACTGTGCCACACCCTGGCATGATGAGAAAGCTCCATATCATTTGAATCAGAAACTTACACTTTTCAGTCAAAGACGTAAAAGTAGCTGTAAAGATTCATTGAATATGAGCAGAACACAAACTTAGGTTCTACAGGTCCAACACTGAAATGATTATAAAAACCACTCAACCTTTTGAAAGACTTGCTCTGGATTTTAAGATCCTGCTTCCATTGAAAACAAGGAATGATTATATATCAGCAACTAGCTTAAAAGCTGCCCTATCAAATGGTATTTAAGCTAGCTCCTGTGGAGGGCTCTTGATTGTGCCTCCATCACAATAGGTAGGGAGGATTAGATGCAATAGGCAACAA